ACAGGCATGAGCCATGCGCCCAGGCATGAAATTCCATTTTATACCCAATAGACTGACAAACACCAAGTGTTGGCAAGGATAGGGTACCAACTAAAATTCTTGTATACTTTGTGCGCATAAGTATTAGAAAATGAACAAAGATTTTCTAGGAAAGTTGAAGATATTCGTATCTTACAACCCAGCAATTTCCTTTTTTAATTTTTTTTTAAATGTCCTGTCTTACCTGAAGCAATTCCCTTTTATACATATACTCTGAAGAAATTATTGCCCATGTATAGAGACATGTTCAGAAATGCTCAAAGCACTATTGTCTGAAATAGCAAAAAGATGAAAACAAACCCAAATTTTCATTAACAGGAGAATTAGTCAATAAATTGGTGGGTTGCTATACATCAATGAAAATGAATAAACTACAGCTACATACAACAACATAGATGAAACATAATGTTGAATAATGTTGAATGAAACATAATGTTGAATGAAAAGGGCAAGTCAAAGATGTCTACAAACAGTATTATATCACTCGTAGAATGTTTTTTTAAAAAGGAGGAAGGACAAAATAAATATGTTAAAAAAATATATGAAGACTGGATGCAGTGGTGCGTGCCTGTAGTCCCAGCTACTCAGGAGGCTGAGGTTGAAGGATCCTTGAGCCCAGGAGTTCTGGGCTGTATGCGCTATGCCGATCGGGTGTCCGCACTAAGTTCGGCATCAATATGGTGACGTCCAGGGAGTGGGGGACCACCAGGTTGCCTAAGGAGGGGTGAACTGGCCCAGGTCAGAAACAGAGCAGGTCAAAACTCCTGTGCTGATCAGCAGTGGGATCGCGTCTGTGAATAGCCACTGCATTCCAGCCTGGGTAACATAGCGAGACTCTGTCTGTAAAAAAATTTTTTTAATTATTTTAAATATGAAGAAAAACCAGGAAATGGTAAATATAAGATTCAGGGATTAGCACAGAAAAGCAGCACATGGGACCCTTCAGTAGTATTGGTAATTATTTTATTTATTTATTATTTCTTTGAGATGGAGTCTCACTCTGTCGCCCAGGCTGGAGTGCAATGGCCTGATCTGTGTTCATTGCAACCTCCACTTCCCGGGCTCAAATGATTCTCCTGCCTCAGCCACCCGAGTAGCTGGGATTACAGGTGCCCACCACCACGCCTGGCTAATTTTTGTGTATTTAGTAGAGATGGGTTTTCACCATGTTGGCCAGGCTGGTTTCAAACTCCTGACCTCAAATGATCCACCTGACTCAGCCTCCCAAAGTGCTAGGATTACAGACATGAGCCACCACATCTGGCCTTGGCTTTTTGTTTTTAGGTTTTGTTTTTGTTTTCTTAAAGTAGGACATGCTGCTGGGTGTGGTGGCTTATGCCTGTTATCCCAGCATTTTGGGAGGCCAATGCTGGTGGATCACCTGAGGTCAGGAGTTCAAGACCGGCCTGACCAACATGATGAAACTCTGTCTCTACTAAAAATACAAAATTAGCCTGGCGTAGTGGTGCACACCTGTAATCCCAGCTATGTGGGAGGCTGAGGCAGGAGAATTGCTTGAACCCAGGAGGTAGAGGTTGCTGTGAGCCGAGATCATACCATTGCACTCCAGTATGGGTGACGAGAGTGAAACTTAATCTCAAAAAAAAAAAATTAGGGAGCGATTTAATGGGTGCCCATTTTATTACTATGCTTCCTAGTTTACATAAAATGTCAGTTCTGGAAATGTTGTCTTGCTTTGTTCATGCCTGTTTCCTTAACACTAAGAACAGTGCCTAGTACATAGTAGATGCTCAAAAACTATGTGTTGAATAAATGGGTATACATTACTTGCATTATTTTATATGATTCAAATCTTTCATAATTTTCTTTTTTCAAATGTTTTGGTTTTTATTTTTTGTAGAGACGGGGTCTTGCTAGGTTACCCAGGCTAGTCTCAAACTCTTAAACTAATACAATTTGCCTGCCTCAGCTTGTCAAAGTGCTGGGCTTACAGGCGTGAGCCACATGCCTAGACTAGAGTAGGTTTTCTTAAAAGAAGGAAAAAACCTACTTTAGTTATGTTTCCCCCTTGATTATTCTAGCTGGAAGTTATACTGCTTCCTCAATTCCTTTTACTCATATAGCCTACTAAATACTGCTAATATTACAGTTATATGTGTACATGTCTTTCTTACTGATTTTAAATTTATGTAAACAAGGAAGTATGTTTTCTCCTTTTTTATACCCATTCACAATATGTAGCACAATACTTCTCACATAGTAGATGCTCAGTAAATATTGGTTGTGGCCAGGCATAGTGGCTCACACCTGTAATCCCAACATTTTGGGAGGCTGAAGTAGGCAGATTGCTTGAGCTCAGGGGTTCAAGGCCAGCCTGGGCAACATAGTGAAACCCCATCTCTATAAAAAATACAAAAATTAGCCGGGCATGGTGGCACATGCCCATAGTCCCAGCTACTTGGGAGGCTGAGGCAGGGGGATCAATTGAGCCCAGGAGCTAAAGGCTGCGGTGAGCCATGATCATGTCACTGCACTCCAGCATGGGCAACAGAACAAGACCCTGTCTCCAAAAAAATAAAATAAAATAAAAATAAACAAATAAAAAATAAACAAATTCAAAGGAACTTGAAGTTCTTCCCCTGCAAAAACTTTTTGGCCATCCCTCTGCCACCAATTCTCCCACCGATTCCTCCCTCAGAAGCCTGGATACCAGTGATCCTTTCCCTTCCTTCATTTACTATTTTCTTTCTCTAGAAGTAGGGAGGTTTACCGACGGCTCACAGTCCTGCTTTCTTAGGGAACTAATTTAGCAAGGGAAACTAGAAAATCTATCAGTCAGTTCCCACCAGCCCATCACAGCCCAGGAGCTTGAAATTAACAATCACAAATAAATAGAGCAGCTCAATATCGAAGAATTATTGGTAGTGCTAAAGTTCCACTTTAACTTGCAGAAAAGAGCCTGTTTAGCAGAAAGAAAGAGAATCCTGGAAAGTTAACACTGGATGGAATCTTAGAGATCACCTACTTCTCCCCCTGATTTTTCCAAATTAGGAGACTGATGCTTTGAGAGATGAAATAACTTGCAGAGTTATTCAACTAGTTAGTAGCAGGGCTGGGACTAGACACCCAGTCTCCTGTGAGAGACAGCTATTCTATCCATGCCACTTGCTGGGGATGTGCATCTAGCAAAGCACATTATAAAGTAGTGGCTCATCTTAAGCCATCAGGAATGGAAATCAAACCATTCAAACTCTTCCTCTTCTCTCCAGCAATATCTTTCTTTTTCTTTGCATTTCTCTGTGTCCTGGTCTCTCTCTCTTTCTCTCTCTCTCTCTCTCTCAAAATCACTCCTATTTCTTTCTGTGGTTCCTTCACATTGTGGCATGCCTGCATGATTGTCCTGATTTTTCTGCTCTAAGCTATGGTTTCTTGTCCAGAGAAACATATATAAACCAATCAAAACCCTTCCTTGGTGACCTTTGTAGAAAAGAATACTTGGAATTTCGATGTGAGAGAAACTGAACCTCTCTCCTAACCTATCCAGTCAATTAAAATGAGTCTCTGGCCCCCCTGAGGGTTGTTAACCAATCCTAAGAAAGAAAAAATCAATCTCATTTCTTCGTCACCACTGTGCAGGGAGGCTGCCAACCAGTCAGAATCTGCCACTCGCAGTCATTAGAAAAACTGGCCAATCAGCCCAACCTTGTTATATGGTCTGGTAGGAAAAGAAAGGGACTGTTTGGAAAGGATAGTTCTGTCTCCACACCCTTTCCTTCCTGGACCCCAGTTTTCCCTTCGTGAAGTCAAAGAAGGATCCTTCCCAAGCCCATAGTTAAGAAGATCCCCCGACCCTCAGCTAAGCTTCTCTTGGATCTTTTGATGTCTTCAAATTCACCCCGCTTACAAACCTCCTTTTTGTAGCCTCACTGCTCCCTTGAGGATCTGATTTCTTGTTTCAAACCTGGTAGTAATAGTCCCAGGATTCTCAGCCTCCCCTCAGATCTCCATTCTCCAGGACGTAAAATAACTTGTTTTGCATGATTTAAGCAGGTGAAAATGTTTTTTAAAGTGCAGCTGAGTCTCTTTCAGGAGATACTGTCTCACGGACCTTGCAATAAACAGTCTAAAGGGAGCAGCGCAGAACTGAGTTGCAATGCGCTTAGCTATAGAAACAGTGATGATGGTGGTGGTGGTGGTGACGATGAGCATTTTGATGCTAGCAATTACTGAACTCTTACTGGGTACCAAACACCTTGCTAAAAGCTTCATATCTATTATCCCAATATTGGCTGCGTGGTAAATACTATTATTCTTCCCAATACACATAGGAGGAAATCGATTTAGAAGGGGTTAAATAGCTAGCTCAAGGTCACACAGCAATTTGGGAACTCAGATTTGTCTGAACGCTGAGCCCATTATTCTATGAGGGTAAGAGAGTGTTAAACATTGCACGCTGTCACAACTTTTGGAAAGAGCCAGCTTTAGCTTCCTCCCAGGCCCCTTCTCTGATCCTCCTCTGGGATTGTTAGCTATATCTGAGTGTCTGAATTGTCACAACAGCTGCAACAGCCATTATGGACATAGTGGCTCCTAAGAACCGTGGACTTTCTCTGCCATTGAGGATGTGAAGCTGAGAGCTAAAAAAAATTCATTTTTGGTGGGAGTGGAGATGTCTGGAGACCTCAGGGGATAAACTCGTGTCTTTGCCAGCCTGCCTTTCTCCTAACAGCATCTCCACAGTGCCTGACACCACTTGGTACTTGATAAATACCTGTTGATTGATTCCCAAGGATCCCAGTTCCCACCTACCTGCCCGCTCGGGGCACAATCAACAACTAGAACTGGAGATTTGGGGATTTCAGAGGAGCCTGTGAGAATCCTAACTGAGCTGGAAACGCGAATTTAGGAAAGACGAGCAGTCCCCCACCCTCCTCTTCTCGCCCGCTTCTCCTATTTCTCCCCACTCCTTCCCCTCCCTTTCAGGAGCTCAGGGCCATAAAAATGCAGATGGAGGATCGGTGTGAAATAACGGGCCCATATAAATCCCTCTGCCGCCCGCCTGCAAGATGGATTGGCCGCATTGAAATTCCTCCGCGAGGATAATTAAACTCGGGGCCTCATCCGGGCAAAATTACATTCCTGTAATGGCGTCGCTCGGGGTCCCGGGAAATTGCTCCGTGGGCTTTCAGCGGCGGTTTTTATCGCCGGCCGGGGTGTGCCTGGCTGCGGCTCGCCTCTCCTCCGGGACCGTAAAGCTGCTGCCGTGATTTATCCTCCCCTTCTCCCAAATCCGATTAAATGGAGGAGCTCGGGGCCGGGGCGCCGCGGGGCCCGGGAGCCGGGAGGGGGCGGCGGGAAGGACGGGGCCAAGGAGGGGAGGACAAACGGCCCCTCAGAGGGTGGCGGATTTGCCTTTATTTACAGCCGCGGCTTTCTTTTTATTTTTTATTTTTTATGGGGTTTGGTTGAGTTTTTCCCGTCTTTCTCGTGCTGCGTTCAAGCACGACGCAGGGACGGCAGGGATTTGGAACTGGGTAGGCCTTGTCGCTCTGCTCCAAAGGGCAGGGCAGGTCCTGTCTGGGAGACAAGAAGGCCGAGAAAAGATGAGGGCCAGAAAGCCGTCCACCTCGGGAAGGACGAGCGAAGGGGAGAGAAGACGGGCGTTTAGGAGAGCATCTGGGGGAGGAGGGTGCTGCTTATTCCCGCTCGCGTGGGTGAAACCTGAGCAGAGGCTCGGGCAAGCCTGGAGTGACCTCGCAACCTTACAGCGGGTCGCAGGTGCCCGTTATTCCTAGACTGTCCCAGGAGTCAGGAAAAAGAGCTTCGGATCATATTTAGCCCTATCTTCTGGCTCGCCGATGCTGCTTTTCTCACGGTTTATCACAGGAATGGAAAGGAGGAAACGGGAGGGGGGGAAAGGGCGAAGCCACCAGAAGCAGCTGTGACATTTTGCTGACTATTCGCTCATTGGGCCGGCTTGCCATCCAGTGATGCCAGGTTCTCGAAGCGACATAAAGCAGGACTCCCAGGATCTTCCTCCTGCTGCATTTTAGGCACTGAACCCCAACCCGACTGTATGTTAACACTGAATTCTGAGTGGTAGTTTTGTTTCGGCAGTGTGACTGCGCATGCTGGGAAAGGGGACGCCAGTCCGAGATCCCAAACGCTGTACAGACCAAACCGCACGCCACGTTACGGATCGGCTTACTCAGTTGGCCTCATTTCTCTGCACACTGTCGGCTTTCCCTGTAGTTTCTCCTCTCGAACGCCAGGTGGGGCAACTGGCCGAATACCGCCACAGCCCTGGCAGGCGGCGCTGTGGTGCCTGGGCCGATTCTCTCCACGTTGCAATCGCTCTATCTGCGGCGGAGCGACTCGTTGGCCCGGGCCACGCATGCGCTGAGCCTTCGTTTCGCTCTTCCCGCCGCTCTGCCCCTCCTCTGTCTTCTCTGCACTGGGAGCAGGTAAGGCTTTGGGATGTCGTTCCTTCTGTGCGCCGCGCACGCGCGCGGGACACCCCACCTCGCGCGGATGCTTTGAGGTTCTTACCTTGCTTGTTCCCACCCTGGTACTCGCGCCCTCCCTGGCTCCCGCTATCCTTGAGTCTTAGAGCTGGCTCTTCCGCATGCCGGTGACCTCCAGCCGCGCGGGCCTGACGCCATCTTGGATGTCTCGTAGCGGGAGGGTGCCTTGGAGCTGGCCAAAGTTAGATCCTAGAGTGCTGCTTTTCACCTGTTCCACCCAGCCCTTACAGACACGCTTTTCTCGCCCTCTGACCCTATCAGATTGTCACAACCCCCAGTCCCTCCCTTCCTATCTCTGCTTTCTCTTCTCATCCTGACTTATGCCTTCTTATTCTGAAATCTCCAGACTTTCGGCCCCAGGACTTCAGGTGCTCCGAGCAATGGAGATAGTGGATCGTCTAAAGTCACCAGTCCCTCTAGTCAGCATCCCTCAATTTAAAAAGTAAACCTTGAACATGGTAGAAGTGGAAAAAAAGCCAAACATCGCCTCCCGACAGGTTGTGCCTTGGGATAGCTAAAGCAGAAATGAGAGGCCAGTTGCTTTGGAATCAATAGTTATTTACCAGTACCTTTCTTGCACCCTGGCACGCTGGTGAAGTTGGAAAAGTCACAGTGGTGGGCTAGAGATAAGGGTTTCTGTTCGAGGCAGCAGGCCCAGAAAGGTGGGGTAAGGCCAAGCTACTGGGGCAGCATGAGTCCCTGCCTGCCAGCTTTTCTGTCAAGGATCAGTTAACCTCCCCAGATACTGCGTTAGGAGGAAAAGAACGTTTAAGGAAAAGAATGGTTAAGTCAGCACCCCTGTGACTGTCCTACACTAAGGAAAAAGCCCATGATGATTTAGGAGTCCTGATTCTGGATAGTGCCTTCATCCAAGTTGTAGGCTAACAACTGCAGACTTGCCTGGTGGGATCACTTAATTGCCACCCTTTGTTACGGGTTTATTACATGCCAGCACCACATTAAACTCTGTTAATTGGTAAATGAAGATATTTAATCCCCCTAAGAACCGCATTTTACAAATGATGATATTGAGGTATAATTGCCTTCGGAAAAAACCATGCCTTCCTTTTCTAAAAGCCTTAAAGAACTATTGGACTTTGACCCAAGAAAACTTGAATAGTACAGAAGCAAAACTGGGTTAGAGTTACATATGGGCAAAAATCAGAGTTTTAGATAGGACAAGAGCTGAGGACATCCATTAATCTAAAAGTAATTAAGGCTGGGTGTGGTGGCTCACACCAGTAATCCCAACACTGGGAGCCAAGGTGGGAAGATTGCTTGCGGCCAGGAGTTCCAGACAGGGTCACCACAAAAAAATTAACAGTAAAGTAAGCAGTTAAGATCTTGGATTCAGAAGTGTTATAACCTGGGACAATTTCAGTTCACTTCATTTAAGGAAGTGGCATTTAATAGGCCTAAGCATTCACTGAGTATCTCAGTCTGTGACATATTAGAAAGTATGTAACTGGCTAGGCACAGTGGCTCACGCCTGTAATCCCAGCACTTTGGGAGGCCGAGGTGGGTGGATCACGAGGTCAAGAGATCAAGACCATCCTGACCAACATGGTGAAACCCCATCTCTACTAAAAAAATAGAAAAATTAGCTGGGCGTGGTGGCGCATGCCTGTAGTCCCAGCTACTCAGAAGGCTGAGGCAGGAGAATTGCTTGAACCCGGGAGGTGGAGGTTGCAGTGAGCCGAGATCGTGCCACTGCACTCCAGCCTTTTTACAGACTTGAGACTCTGTCTCAGAAAAAAAAGAAAAAAAGCATGTAACAAATGATGCAAGTTCAAATCTAGCCTCTACCACTACCGTAGTTTCAAGACTGGGTTTAAGGTCATGCTCTTGCGTTAAGTATGTCTAATAATCATCTGGGAAACTTGTTTAAAATACAGGGCACTTGAGCCTTATTCCCAGAGATCTTTTTTGTTTGTTTATAGATGGGGTTTCATGTTGTCACCCAGACTCTAGAGTACAGTGGCATGATCATAGCTCACTGAAGTTTCCAACTCCTAGGTTCAAGCAATCCTCCTGCCTCAGCTTCTGGAGTACCTGGGACTACAGGTGCACAGCTACCTCACCTAGCTAATTTTTTGTAGAGACAAGGTCTTGGTGTTCGAGCAGGCTGATGTCAAACTCCTGGCTTCAAGTTATCCTTCCGCTCCAGCTTCTCAAGTGTTGGGATTACAGGAGTGAACCACTGAGCCTAGCTCCCCCAAGAGATCTAGACCAGGAAGGTCCAAGTTGGTCCCAAGAATATACATTTTTTTAATACGTGCACCACCCAGATAATTCTGCTTCAGATGGGCTTCTCACTTGGAGAAACCCTGCCTTTAGCTTTTTAACTCATCTTCTCTTCTCAGGTAAGTTCACCTCTACCAACTTAGACACCTGTAGGGTGTCAGGACTTCTTTATCTTGGGGAGACACAATTTAATACCTTTTAGATAAAGTAACTGCAGAGTTCCTCCTTGATCTTCCTCATCCTATTAATACAAGAAATTGAAGTATTTTGAGGAATCAGGTACTTCCAGGGATCAGCAAAGAGATTGTTGGAGACCTTCCAGTGTCTTGGCCGTCAACAAATATCTCCCAAAACTACAAAGACTCTAATCTTTGAAGGGCAACTTTTCAAGGCCCACACGATGAAGTCTTGAGAAGGGTTCCTTTTGAATAAAAACTGAGGAAAACTTAGGCAAAAGACACTGGGAAAATTCCTCTGGCAACTGCAAATCCATGAGGCTATGGAAATGGGTAACAGGTGTTAAAGCTGGGCCCAAATGATCCCTTGTTCAGACCAGGGGAAGTCACTTGATTATAAGGAAATCCTGGGAGCTGTGTGGGGTTTCTGGAAGAAGTCATGACTTGAGGGTTCTAATTCTATTTCTGCCCGTGACTTAAGGTCAGTCACTGTTCTCTGGGCCAGTTAAGTGTTCTAGGGTCCCACTTCTTCTAATAAGGATGTAGTTTAATGAATAAAGAGAGTGTTTACAAAACTGCTCCTGTAATTCCAGCTTTCCTGCCAGAGCCCCTCACCCCCTGAAAATGTTTGCCTGCTCCAAGTTTGTCTCCACCTCCTCCTTGGTGAGTACCTGATTTTCTGGGAGAGCTTTAAAGGAGAGACATCTTGTCTCTCTCTTTCCATCAGACCTTGTTCTTCACAGCACAGCTGGGTGAAGGTGAGTAAGATTCTTGGGGCTGGGTGCAGTGGCTCATGCCTGCAATCCCAACACTTTGGGAGGTCCAGGCAGACAGATCACTTGAGTCCAGGAGTTTGAAACCAGCCTGGCCAACATGGTGAAACCTCATTTCTACAGTTGGGCATGGTGGCATGTGCCTATAATCCCAGCTCCTCGGGAGGCTGAGGCAGGAGAATAGCTTGAACCCGGGAGATGGAGGTTGCAGTGAGCCAAGATCATAACCACTGCACTCCTGCCTGGGCGAAAGAGGAAGACTCTGTCTCAAAAAATAAATAAACAAGATTCTTGGGGAGAGAAGGCCCTTTGCTGTCATTGCCTAACAGGAGAGAGTGAATGCTTGTTAGACATTCTCTTGCCCCGTATCACTTAGTGGCCTGTTAACTTTTTTATTTTATTTTACTTTTTGAGACGGAGTTTTGCTCCTGTTGCTCAGACTGCAATGGCGCGATCCACCGCAACCTCCGCCTCCCAGGTTCAAGTGATTCTCTTGCCTCAGCCTCCTGAGTAGCTGGGATTACAGGCATGTGCCACCACGCCCGGCTAAGTTTGTGTTTTTAGTAGACATGGGGTTTTTCCATGTTGGTCAGGCTGGTCTCGAGCTCCCAGCCTCAGGTGATTGACCCGTCTCGGCCTCCAAAAGTGCTGGAATTACAGGCATGAGCCACTGCACCTGGCTGTGGCCAGTTAATTCTTACCCAACCATCTTAAGAGTAGAGATGAGAATCTAGACCAAGTTATTCCTATTCCTGAAACTATATGTCCTGTAAACTGGCCATCCAGAGTGGTAAACAAGTAGTTAGATTACATAACTTGGACTGAATATGTACTATGTGTAGGATCTTGTCCTGAGTGAGCCATAGCTAGGAGTTCATTCTGGGACTAAAATTTGGATGGGAAGCTAAACTTTACATAAATACACATTGGAAAAGTATTTAACTCAGAAACAACAGTATGGAAAAAAATTTTTAATTGTAGGTAGAGGAGGCAGTTGGTTCATTCACAAATAAAAAGGAGTACCATTTATTGAGCATTTACCATGTGCCTTAGCACTGAGTTTACTAATTGGTATACATAATCTCATTTACTCTTCAAATCGACTCTGGGAGATGATATTTTGATTTGATAAATGAGAATACAGGCTTAGAAAGATTGAAGTGACTTAACCTGAGAGCACATTGGTGGCAATAGAGTTAAGATTTGAATCTCACCCTATTCTGATGCCTAAGCCCTGGCTGTTAATCACCATGTATCTGTTTTGGCGTCACTGGCTTGGGGTTAGTCAGAAAAGGCTACTGGAATGAGGTAAATTTTGAGCATGAATCTTTGTTCTTATTTTCCAAAAGCAACCTTTTGGATCCTTTATTCAGGGAAAGTCACTGAGTTTTTTCGTGTGGGCTGACCATTACCCATACAGATGGCCCCCAACTTTATATGATTTGACTTAAGATTTTTTTTTTTATGATGATGATACAAAAATGATATGCATTCGTTAGAAACCATACCTCAAATTATGAATCTTTCTTTTCCCAAGCCAACGATGTGTGGTACAATACTCTGTTGCAATACTTAGCAGCAAGCCACAGCTGCCAGTCACCTACCCAATCATGAGGGTAAACAACCAATACGCTACAGGGTACTGTGTTGCTAGGTGATTTCGCCTCACTGTAAGCTAATGTAGGCGTTTTGAGGACATTTAAGGCTAGGCTAAGCCAAACTATAGTGTTTAGTAGGTTAGCAGTATTAAATGCTTTTTCAATGTACGATGGATTTATTTGAACATAACCCTATGCTAAGTTGAGGAGCATCTGTATATATCTCCCTTGTTGAGTGAGGCAAATGCTTCTGAGGCTTAGATTTCTTCTTCTTCTCAAAAGCTATAAAAGGATACAGCAAGGGTGAATGCTCCCTTGTTGCCCAAAAGGAAGTAGACTTTCTTTCCTTAAAGCAAAACCTGAGAAGCAAGAGAAACGGTGTGGTTCTTTAATTTCGGCTTTGCTAAAAGAAAGAATGATTCAGAATTCAAATTTAAGTGTGAGGATGGAAAGGCCATCAGAGGAGAGAAGCTCCTATCTGATGATGTAACAGTGCGGCATAGTTCTGAAACTTCTCTCCAGTCTTCCTTGACCTTCCTGCCCCTGTATGTCATTCCTACTAGGTCAAGAGCACCTCACAGCTGCTGAGCCGTCCACTATCTGCAGTTTTGCTGAAACGACCGGAGACACTGACAGATGAGGTACCTTACCCATAGAGTTGGGACTGTGGTTTTGGGGGTGATGAGTGGGAGGGTTACCTGCCAGAACCAGGAGGAAGAGTGTTGAGGACAGTCATCACAGGCCATGGGCTTTAGGTGGAGATGGAGGCCAGTTAATGCACTGTATACTAGAGTGCTACAGCCTTTGCCACTGGCAGCACATGCCCATGTGCACTGCTGCTAACTTAGTCGAATGATTGCAGTTGGGAACATCTAGTCTAGGAAGACGATCTCTTTGGGGCAGCAAGAATAGACTAAGGCCTCAGTCTTACACTTCTTGACCACACCTGAGTCTTAAAGGCATTTGAAGTCTACATCCTACATTAAAAGGTTCTACTTAACCAGCATTTTTGGGGCTTAAACAATTTTGTGTTTGAGGGAGAAACCATGGGATTTGGCAGCATAAAGACTTTAAATGGTATAAAAGTTACCAAAGCAAAAGGTTCCAAAAATCTTGACCTTCTACCTGCCTCTTCTTCACAGAGCCCCAGCAGCTTGGCAGTCTCACGTCCCCTTACCTCATTTGTCTCTAGCCGCAGCTTCCAAACCAGCGCCATTTCAAGGGACATCGACACAGCCGCCAAGTTCATTGGGGCTGGGGCTGCCACAGTTGGGGTGGCCGGCTCTGGGGCTGGGATTGGGACTGTGTTTGGGAGCCTCATCATTGGTTATGCCAGGTAAGATAAGTTGGGCCCTCCACTGGTTCTCTGATACGCTTTCCAAAGGTGTGAACTTATTTGGGGGTCTAGAACTACACTGTCCCATACTGTAGCCACTAGCTACATGTTTTTTGTTTGTTTTGAGACAGTCTCGCTCTGTCACACAGGCTAGAGTGCAGTGGCCCAATCTCAGCTCACTGCCACTTCTGCCTCTGGATTCAAGGGATTCTTATGCTGTGCATGGGGACATGCACCTATAATCCAAGCTACTCAGGAAGCTGAGGCAGGAAAATCGCTTGAACCCAGAAGGTGGAGGTTACAGTGAACCAAGATCATGTCACTGTGCTCCAGCCTGGGCAACAGAGTGAGACTTTATGGGAAAAAAAGGAAAAGGAAAACAAATATAGGCTAGACGAGGTGGCTCACACCTGTAATCCTGTACTTTGGGAGGCCAAGGTGAGTGGATCACCTGAGCTCAGGATTTAAGACCAGCCTGGTCAATATGGTGAAACCCCATCTCTACTAAAAATACCAAAATTAGCTGGGTATTGTGGTGGGCGCCTGTAGTCCCAGCTACTCGAGAGGCTGAGAGAAGAATTGCTTAAACCTGGGAGGTGGAAGTTGCAGTGAGGCAAGATGGCGCCACTGCACTCCAGTCTGGGCAACAGAGTGAGAGTCCATCTCAAAAAATATAGATGGATGGCTGGATAGAATGTTTATATCATTGTGTCATTGAAGAAAGTTTGATAAACAGCTTTGGTCTAGAGCAGGTATTGGCAAACTAAGGCCCAAGGGCCAAATCTGGGCCATAGTCTGGTTTTGTATGGTTGAGCTAAAAATAGTTTTCCATTTTTAAAATGTTTCATTTTTTTTAAAAGCAAAAAAGATGGCCAGGTGCGGTGCCTCATGCCTGTAATCCCAGCACTTTGGGAGGCCAAGGTGGGCGGATCATGAGGTCAGGAGTTCAAGACCAGCCTGACCAACATGGTGAAACCCCATCTCTACTAAAAATACAAAAATTAGCCGGGTGTGGTGGCACACACCTGTAATCCCAGCTACTCAGGAGGCTGAGGCAGGAGAATCACTTGAACCCAGGAGGCGGAGGCTGCAGTGAGCCGAGATTGTGCCACTGCACTCCAGCCTGGGAGACAAAGCAAGACTCCATCTCAAAAATAAATAAATAAATAAAGCAAAAGAGACTATATGCGGCCCACAAAACCTAAAATATTTACCATGTGGCCCTTTACAGAAAGAGTTTACCTTCTCTGGTCTAGAGACTCAGTGAACATAGTGGCTTTACTGCTGTTTTTACCCATCTCTGGGGATTTCTCTTTGTCGCTCCTGGGAAAACTGACACTGCAGCCAGCCCTGGACTGTTTAGTCCCGCCAACTCTGGATAACTCACCATTAAAACCAAATTAATCTTCTAGAGACCAGTAAGTTCTCTTAATGTCTTTTAGGAAATAGAGTTCTTTTTAAGAGTTTGTATTAAACAAGAAGTCTAACTGCCACTTTATTCACTATTCTGTTAAATGCTGGTGTTGATATACCTTACCCATCAAGACTTCTGGAGGTATCAGAGTAAGGGAAATACAAATTATATATTGGCTTTCAATGTTGGGAGTCCTTTATCCATACTACTACAACTCATATCATAAACCCCACAGACCATTTGTAACTTTTTTTTTTTTTTAAAACTAGTCTCACTGTAGTCCAGGCTGGAGTGCATTGGCACGCTCTCTGCTCACTGCAGTCTCTGCCTCCTGAGTTCAAGCGATTCTCCTGCCTCAGCCTCCCAAGTAACTGGGATTACAGGCGTGTGCCACCACGCCCAACTAATTTTTTTTTCTTTTGAAGCACTGTGGTTTGTAACACCCAGCTAATTTTTGTATTTTTAGTAGAGACAGGGTTTCACCATGTTGGCCAGGCTGGTCTCCAACTTTTGGCCTCAAGTGATCCACCTGCTTCGGCCTCCCAAAGTGCTGGGATTACAGGCGTGAGCCACCGCACCAAGCCCATTTGTAGCTTCTTAAAGCCCCAAATCTTTTGACTGAAATGAGAGAACATAATATGTCCCTCTTACTCTCTCTTTTTTTAATTTTTTTTTGAGATAATTTCACGCTTGTTTCCCAGGCTGGAGTGCAATGGTGTAATCGCGGCTCACCGCAACCTCTGCCTCCCAGGTTCAAGTGATTCTCCTGCCTCAGCCTCCCAAGCAGCTGGGATTACAGGCATACACCACCACACCTGGCTAATTTTGAATTTTAAGTAGAAATAGGGTTTCTCCATATTGGTCAGGCTGGTCTTGAACTTCCAACCTCAGGTGATCTGCCCAACTTGGCCTCCCAAAGTTCTGGGATTACAGGGGTGAGCCACCATGCCCAGCACCCCTCACTCTCTTGTCTTCTAAAAGAGTGGTGGTCTAATTGTGTTCCATTAATCCCTAGGATTCTGAGGATCTCTCCTAGAGACTGTCTTAGAGAATAAAGGGGAGACCAAGCCATTAAAATTTCCCACTACTTTTATACCATTGCAATTTGGCTTTTATATGTTTATTATTTTGGAGTTCTGCTTAAAGTTTGAAAACACTGCTTAGATAGACCCTGCTACTCCGGATGCCTCTTCTATCCTGTTGGGGCCCTGGATATTAAGTGTCTAGGCCAAAAGGTCTTAATTTGTGGTAATGAGACAGATGACCCATTAGAGAAGGTCATGATTGCACCTGGGCCATGTTACAGGCGTTCAGATTGTCCTCTTTCCCACTTCATTCAGTTCTTACAGAGCCCTTGGGGAATCGGGGCAAGATTTTGGGCATGATGGTGTTCCCCTGAAAGGCTCTTTACGTAAGATAATCTTGAAGAGGGGAATTCTCCCTGAGCCTGTCTTAGATATTTATCCTTTTCTTTGTATGAACTAGAAATTCAGTCTTTTCTCCTCCCCTTCTCCCAGGAACCCTTCTCTGAAACAACAGCTGTTCTCCTATGCCATTCTGGGCTTTGCCCTTTCGGAGGCCATGGGGCTCTTTTGCCTGATGGTGGCCTTTCTCATCCTCTTCGCCATGTGAAGAAGCCGTCTCCATATCCCATAGTTCTTTCTCCCATGTATGGTACAGCCCTGTGTGTTCCTTTTCCTATACCTCCCCAGGTACCCTGGGGAACGTGGTTGGCTCAGGGTTTGACAGAGAAAAGACAAATAAATACTGTATTAATAAGATGTTTCCTGAGTCTCTTGTGTATATTTATTTTCCACAGTTGGCTGAGTGCCTTAGTGAGAGTACAAGGCCCGAATGGTGGTGGTGGTGCTAAACTCAACATGCATTTGGCTGGGCTCTCTTAATTCTGTTTCAGGAAAGCTTAATTCAAAATAGCACAACATTTTAAATAATTTCCACCTGGCATGGTCTGCTACTTGACTGGGAACATTGGGGTCAGTAGCAACTTAGAGTTCTGGCCTAAAATGTTGGCTAATAGGCTTTCTGTTTCCACTGTCACTATCCTGGCTCAGGCCTTCATTGTCATCCACCTCGTCTATTGCAATAATGTCTTAACTGACCCTCTGCCTCCAGTTTCTTCCCTCCAGCATTTACTTCTCCCTACCACTGCCAGGTGAATCCTCCTTAAGCATAAGACTAGTTTTATCCGTTACCAGTTCAAAAAGTCTCACCTCAGCTTCTCTGCTTTATCTTTTATTCATCCTATACACGACCTAATGTGATTGTTATTTTTCAGATGTTTTCTTGTCTTTACTGTTATCTTCCTGCCTTTTCCTTTCTCTGCCCAATTCTGCTTTCTTTCCCTCAATCTTTGCTCATTTTCCTCTTCTCTTTTTTTTTTTTTTTTTTTTTTTGAGACGGAGTCTTGCTCTGTCACCAGGCTGGAGTGCAATGGCACGATCTGAGCTCACTGCAAACTCAGCCTCCTGGGTTCAGGTGATTCTCCTGCCTCAGCCTCCCAAGTAGCTGGGATAACAGGCATGCACTACCATGTAATTTTTTCTGTATTTTTAGTAAAGATGGGGTTTCACCGTGTTGGCCAGGCTGGTCTCAAACTCCTGGCCTCAAGTGATCCGCCTGCCTCAGCCCCCTAAAGTGCTGGGATTACAGGCGTGAGCTACCACACCTGGCCTGGAATCAAAATTTTAAGTCTGGGCCAGGCACTGTAGCTCATGCCTGTAATCCCAGCACTTTGGAAGGCCAAGGTGGGCGGATCATGAGGTCAGGAGTTCAAGACCAGCCTGACCAACATGGAGAAACCCTGTCTCTAGTATAAGTACAAAATTAGCTGGGTGTGGTAGCGCATTCCTATAATCCCAGCTACTGAGGAGGCTGAGGCAGGAGAATCGCTTGAACTCGGGAGATGGAGGTTGCAGGGAGCCAAGATTGTGCCATTGCACTCCAGCCTGGGCAACAGGAGTGAAACTCCCATCTCAAAAAAAAAAAAGTCTGGCCAGAAGGCATCTAGAGAGAGAACCCAGGGATGCTGAAGACAAAACCTGCTTCCCTCTTCACAGTTTCTTCCCATGAGTCAGTTATGTTTCTTCAGCACCACAGAAATGTCAGTAGGTTTGTGCCATCCTAATTAGAAGCAAATGATGCCCTTTGAAAATCACCTCAATGCTTAACAGTAATGAGGATCCATGCTCCAGCCTCCCTTTCAAGGTGGATTTGAGACTTTGTAAGGGCATCAGGGTGAGAAAGCTGACCAGGGACAAAACTGGTAGTTTGGCTTAAGTTGGTGTCCAGGAACCTAGAGCAACTGTCTCCTTCACACAGATGAGATGAAGGAATGTTCATTTAGAACTCAAGAATAGGAAAAGTAAGGGCAGTAGTATCACAATGGTGAGTAGAGAATATTGTCCTAGTCCCTCAAGTTCTAAGCAATGAAACTTTGTCCCCCCCCCCCCCCCCTTTTTTTTTTTTTTTGGGACAGAGTGGCACTCTTGCCCAGGCTGGAGTGCAGTGATGCAATTTCAACTCACTGCAACTTCCACCTCCCGGGTTAAAGCAATTCTGCCTCAGCCTGCTGAGTAACTGAGATTACAGGCACCTGCCACCACACTCAGCTAATTTTTTGTATTTTTAGAGAGATGGTTTCGCCACATTGGCCAGGGTAGTCTTGAACTCCTGGCCTCAGATGATCTGCCCACCTCAGCCTCCCAAGGTGCTGGGATTACAGGCGTGACCCACTGTGCCCAGCCAAAACTGTCTTTATTGGGCCACATGTCAAAACAGCGTGCATTTTGCAATAGTATTCTTAGGAGACATTCCTGATATCTTGGTGTTCTTACCATTTGATGAGGAAAAAAGTAAAACAGGAAGATCTTTTTGTCTCCAGGCATCCTTAAAATTTACTTTTGGCTGGGCGCAGTGGCTCACACCTGTAATCCCAGCACTTTGGGAGGCTGAGGCAGGTGGATCATGAGGCCAGGAGATCGAGACCATCCTGTACAACATGGTGAAACCCCGTTTCTACCAAAAATACAAAAATTAACCGGGAGTGGTGGCGTACGCCTATAGTCCCAGCTACTCAGGAGGCTGAGGTGGGAGAGTTGCTTGAACCTGAGAGGCAGAGGTTGCAGTGAGCCAAGATCGAACCACTGTACTCCAGCCTGGGCAGCAGAGTGAGACTTATCTCAAAGGAAAACAAAAATTATTTTTAAGCATTTATTTCAAGGCACTGTAAATATTAGCACATTGTAACCAAAGTAGCCACTTTAGACATGGCAAAGACAGGAACAAAATACCAGGCATGAGATCAGTTCTCATTCCAAATGCTTGGCTTCTCTTATTAGTGTAAATGGTTAGAGGTAATTTATTCCTGCTGCTTCCCCCAACCACCAGAGAATTTCCTCTCATCCTTTGAATAAGTGCTGTGGTGGACAGAATTTTTTAAATGACGCCCTTTAGAATGTCCTATCCTAATCCCCAGAATCTGAATTGGATATCCCTCCCCTAGTTATATTATGTGGCACTGTTGACTTTAAGAAAGATTATCGGGGGGCGGTTCTTATCTAGTCAACGTGAGCCCTGAAAAGCACCTTCTAAGGCACCCTTGCTGGCATTGAAGATAGAGAGGACCATATGCAAGGACCAGAAAGTAACATCTAAGAGCTGAGAGTGACTCCCCTGCCAACAAGAAAATGGGGACCTCATTCCTACAACTGCAAGGAACTGAATTCTACCAACAACCTGTATGTGTTTGGAAGTGGATTCTTCCCCAGAACCTTCAGATAAGAACCCAGCCCAAACAACTTTGGCTTTCTGAGACCCTAAGCAAAAAATCCAGTCAAGCCCACTGGATTTTTGACCTACCAAACAGTAGGATAATGAATGTTTTAAACCACTAAGTTTGTTGTTATCTAGTAATAAAAAGCTAATACAAGTGCAATATTCCAATCTGCAGTAGAAGGAATGAAGTTTCATCTGGATCTTTTGAGTTCATCTGGATCAATTGAGTTGAATCTCCAAAAATTGATTTATCGTTCTGATTCCTGCTGTTATGTTGCAGATAGGTAGCATTTTGCCTACCACTGGGTTCATTTTACCCCACTGCTTATTTTCTGAGTTTATGGGTAGGCTGTTTGGTTGGCTCAGCTCTGTCCCCAAGATAGATATTTTTAACCATAGTGGAGTATAGTCTTCCAGGAACTGTGTGGCTGCTTTTACAGAAATGAACTCTGCATATCTTGCCGGGGGGATGGTTGGGGTGTATGT